TTTGCCTCCACTCTCATAACTTTTTTCTATGCATGAAAAGGATTCTTTGCAGTCTAAACTTTATGATTTTCACTCTCTACAACAGAATAACAAGATAATGGTTTAAATTAAAATAAAACTAAAAAACAACACCCATAGAACCTCCACAATTCTATAAAGGCAAGATTGCAATTTTCATAACAAGAATATGACATGCAGACATCCCATTAATTTGTCCCACAATTTCTTTATATCCTTCTTTGACGATTTTTTCTTTTCAGGTGCTAAACATACATGTCACAAGGAAAAACAAAACACCAAGAAAGAGGAGACAATTATAAATGGTGCTGCTAAAGTTTTGCATTTATTTCGTATTCAAGTATGTTCTCTAAATGACCAATCTCCAAAAACGGTGAAATAGAATGAGAAAACAATTTACATGCTGACTAAGGCATGATGCATCTGAATAGTTTAATAAACCAACATAAAGGTAATCATAAATCAACGTGAACAGTGACACACCTGAGTTACAACAGGCCTACCAGCACGCCCCATTGCTGAAGTACGAACGTCAAGGCCGGACTCTGGTCCATACAATGAAAGCCTAGAAGGATTAATATGTGATTCCATCAGGCTATCACGATCTACAAATAGAGAATCCCTCTTCACTAGATGAGGGTAATCAGCGTCAATAGCTGTCTGTGAAGTAGAAGAGTGCAATGTCTTGTCAGACCAAGCGTCTACTTGTTGTTCCTGAGTGACAGGAGCATTATACTGTACAAGGAGGTAAATAAATTATCATAAATAGAATTAGAGTGACATGATCATGGATCACTAAAAACAAACAGAAATGTGCTTACATTCTTCTCAAATAGGGGAAGAACGCTATGATCCACCAAGAATTTTCTCAGGTGCCCCAGCACAGCTTCTAAACCTTTAAGAACCTTGAGCGCTTCCCCATGTAACTCAACAATCCTTTCTTCAGAACTGGCATAAATTGGCAATTCATCTGCAACAAAAAATGTCAAATATCACATAATTCAATTTCGAGTGAATAATTGTCATAAAGCTACTGTGGAATTTCTTTTGTATCTTCACATTTCAATACACTAATGCCCCTGAAGTTTTTAGTCTTCATAGAAAGCTTGAATGCACTTATACCTGTCAATTAAATCATTTAGAGATTGACAAAGTAAATTCTCTAAAAGAAGATTTTTCTGCATCTCCTCATAAGCCTCAAAGAGTAACTGTTCAGGTAGTAGCCATATTGATAATTTGCCGATGTTCAATAAAGAAAGCTAAACCTTGAACAGATCAACCAGAGCCGGTTAGGTTGCATACTTCCAATTCTTTTTATGTTTCCCAAGATGTATGGCACATGTTGATCATCTCACTCTGAATCATTTTTTAAAAATGAGAAACATTTCTTCTCCGACTCATGGACGACATTATTTAATGTTTTCCAGATTCTTCTGTCTATAACTCTACTCAGATCATTTTCAAAATATTAAGGCGAGAGGCATAGACATGATGCAAGCAATAAAAATCAGGTTATGCACGGACATTACCATTGGAGAGAACCCTCACAGAGGCACCAGAGCTCTCCTGAATCAACTTGATCACAGAACCTTGTTTTCCTATTAAACTCGTGGCTTGTGCTGATGCCACAATCAATCGAATCAAACAAAATGCAGCTCCAGCTGCATCAGGGACTTCACCATCAGGTAGTCCATGAAGACTCTTAAATATTCTTATTGCGGCATCAATGGCAGGAGGCAACAGTGCCTCTGGTTCTTCCTTCCCAGATATTAGAACCTTCAATATTGCGAGTTGAAAATTATGTATCAGTAAGTAAAAATGAAAAGCAAATCAAAAAAATTAATGTCCAACTTGCAGACAAGCATAAAACAGATCAATGAAGTAGCAAAAAAAGCCCAAAAAGCTAAAGCCAGTAATAAAATACAAAGAAAAGGCATGACAAATGGTTGAACAACTTAGTCTCCATAAGGCTTAGTCTCAAGGTGTGAGTCTTCAAAATTGAGATGTCATCCTTTCAAATGGCATTTAAAGCATAAGCTTTGCAGCATTTTATGAAAGCCTCGCCTCGAGGTGGAACTAAAGGTGTAGCCTCAAAAGGATGTCTTAAAGGCAGTTAGGGTGTTGCTGGCCACTTAGATTCACATGTGATTTGATTGATATGACATCTCTGCAAAGGCAGTTGGGAGTCATATCCCATCTTTCCCACCTAGGACAGTGTGGGAGGTCATGTGCCCATGATGGCTAAGATATTATATTTTAGAGCTTCACTCGTGAGGCATTCGGATGAGACCAAGTGTCGAGATTCTGAGAGACTTCAAATTCATTCCCTTGCTTATAAATAGTCTCACATGGTGACATTGGAAGGTACTTCTCACCCTAGAAATCCAAACTCTGCTCTCGCAATTTTTTCTCCTTCGTGTTTCTCCCACACCAAATTAGTTGTCCGTTTATTGACTTGAGAATCGAAGATAGTACTATTGCGGCCCCCGCCATTGTTTGGAGAAGCCTCGGTCTGCACCCCTAACGTGTGCAGGTAATGTACGCGTGGAGGGGAGGGGATAGGAGGGGAGATCTATTAACGCCCTGAGTCCCAACCAGACTCGGAGGTCAACAGTTTATTAGTAAAAACACTAGAAATCTGAAAATATAAGTCATTCGAACCAGTAATGAAGAATCAAGAAACCTGAAACTCCTATAAATTAAAAATGAAATCTTCACATCATCAAATTTATAAATTGAAGACAATTAAAATAAAAAATAGCAATCCAATCATATATGTGCACATATCCATGCATATAAATTAGCATATAATAAGAACCGGGAAATATTTTAATTACAATGCGATCAGGAGAGGAGACAGGTCCATCAAGAATGCGAACCCTAGCACGGGTCTCCTCAACAAGCTTCTTGATTAAATCTCCCTTGCGCCCAATTATGCCGCCCACTTTCAGTACTGGCACAACTATCCTGAACACGATGCACCCCGGCCACCCCGGCCACTTAGCCTGTAATTCCTTATCTTTTTCATCGACTGTCGGAGCTCCGGCTTCCGTTGGCTCAGCCGCAGCTGGAGCCTCTGTTATTGCCTCAGGCAAGGCAGACGCGGGCTCGTCTTGAAAGCTTTCGGTTAATTCTGTTTGTGTCTTTGTCTCCGCGGCGGTGGTGTCGGTGTCAGTGGCTGTCGGTGCTTGAGCTGAAGCCATTGATTTGCATTAAGTTGCGACCGTGCGAGAGAATGAAAGTCTTAAAAAGGAGTGAAACCCTCAAATTTTAAGGATATAGATAAATTAATACTTTATGATCATGAACAAATATTACATTTGAGTCCCTCATTTATGAGATATAGATTAAGTAGGTTCTAAAATTTCAAATGGATCCCTATTGGACCATTTTCATTCATTTAATCTTTTAAAAGGTCACTTTATATTAAAATGTAAAAATTGTTATATTCTTGTTTTGAATTAAATGGAAAATAACACGCTGCAGTGAAAATCAAACTTAAACGTGGTAAGAAAGAGATTAGAAAAGAATTATTTTCAAAGAATAGAGAAATTCAACTTGAGAATAAGGACAAAGGCAAAATTAATGAAAAAGAGAATCAAAGGAGAAAATTTTAACGTGCGACTATTACACGACATTTTAACTTTGAAATAGACAAAGACATTTATGAGATAGTTCCCACAGTAAATTTAAGAATTTTAATATAAATTTTTTTTTAAGATTTTGCCCTCTTGCTTTCGATATTATTACAATAGAACCCTCTTCAATTTTATTTTTTTTCCCTCACTATAGACCCCACAGATTTGGAGGTGTCAAATCCAATTTTCACAACATTTCTACAAAATATATCTTAATCTTTTGAAATATCTTACAACTACTATTCTTACCTTGCCAAGGATAGAATCACGTGACACAGTATATTTAATACGGTAAACAAGATTTTAACTTATTTCTAGCGCCTCTCTATCTAACTTCTATTAAAAAGCTCAACGAGTTGTCACTGTTGATGAAATAATAAATGAATCTCAATTTATTGTACAAGAGAGAAGAAAATGACATCATTTTTATTTATATATTTTTCTTACTTTTCAGTGTTGAAGTTCTTTTTTCCTTCGTTCTTTCTCTTCTTTAGCTCGCGTTCATTCCGATTTTTGCTCCTTATTTTCGACGACCATACTAGGCAACCATACTTCTTATTTTCAAGTACAATAATTTCTATTGATTGATTTACGCAGTTGAAGAGGTTTATGAATTTAAATATCTCTTTCTACTCCCCTTTCTTCTCGAAAAAATTTTTGCTAATTGTAATGGTTAGTAGTGTTTTCTTCGTATTTTTTTATGGAATTGATTTAGGGTCTGTTTGATTGTAAAGATTGAATTGAATTGAAAACGAATTCTAAGGAATTGAATTACCTAGAAATTGTTTTCCTGAGAATTATAAATTATTGTGTTTAATTAGTATAATTTTTCAGGTGTAAAATGTTGAAATTTTGAATCTTTTGGTGTTCATTTAATCTTTTTTCATAAAAATTGTCAATTAAATAGATAAATTTTTTTACAATTGTTGATATATTTTGTTTCCATTGTTAAAAAGAAAAAATAAAAAATAATAATAATAAAATAAAAATGAAAAGCTGGAAAACCAAATTCCCACCAAAATGGTGGGAATTGGTTTTTCCACCATTTCAAGAAAATATACACGTGTGGAAAAAAATGTGGAAATCAAATTCCCTAGAAAATTTAGCAATCAAACACCACATTTTGGTGGAAAATGAAAAATGTTCTCCATTTTCCATGAAAAATATATCCAATCAAACATGGCCTTAGATTTTGTTCCAAGTTGTATAATAAAAATGTATATTTTCCTTTCCAAGAACGTAGTAAAAGTGGCCAAGTAGTAATAGGAATTCCTCAAGTAGATAAAAATTTCAAGTTTAACAGTACCTTTGTCTTTAACACAAGAAATTTTCACAACCGAAGAATAATCAAATTAACTAAAACAATCATAACATAAAAATTGAATCTTCAACTGCTTGTTTATCAGCAAGTTCCCTCTACCGTAATAATCAAACCACCAATAAAAACTTCCGAACCAAAACGAGAATGAAAGAGGAAAAAAACACGAGAAAACTGTACATCAGTTAACACCTGACAGATTAGCCTTGCTGTTCTTGCCACCATTTTTATATGCTTCCAACAAAATTTTCTTTCAAAATAGCTGAACCAACTGCTAAACTGGTATGACATCAATCTTCGAAGTGTCGTCACATCTTAATACAATGCCTTCGAGACTGGCCGGAAGAATGCATTTAATCCACTGACATCCAGTTGAAAATGGTTCAGGTGGAGGAACAATCAGCAGAACATTATCGTTCCGCTGCACGACTCCCATCACGCTGACGGTGCTACCTTCTCTGATGTACCTAAATGAAAAATGATCATCAACTACATTATTCCGTTGAAATCTATGTTTAAATAAATTAACATGTCCCTCTTAACAGAATGAGCTATTAGATGATGTAGTTCAAGATCATATCAGAATAGGCAATGATCACGAGTTCAAGTCTAGCCACCATCCTCAAGAAAAGTATACATGTTTTAAGCCTTTGATGAAAATTGAATTCAGTCTGAGGAATGGTGTTGAAGACTAAACCCTTGTTTGACAACCATTTTTTCGAGTTTCTTGAAGAGAATGAGTTTTCTTAATAGTAACTTCTTTGGAGAATGTGTGGTTAAAAAGCAAGGCAAAGATTTGGGTTCACATGAATAATATTTTATTTTGAGAATGTTTGGTCGGAAATGAGTATGAGAAAAAAAGTTTCGAAAGAATGGTTAAGACAAGGGCTAAAGTTATACAAATAAAAGTGTATCCTCTCTAATAGCTTAAAGACATTCTTGTCATGCTCCTCACACGAGAGCATAATAGGCATCATTACAGGTTCTTGTCACTTTTGCCTCTTTCACCCTTAATGATAATTATTCTTTCACCTCAGACTATCAAGTAACAACGAAAAAAAGGGCAACAATAAACATCATTAATGAAATAAAACAATCTTACCCTTCTTTCAATCTCATTACACGATCATCGCTTGACAGGTTCCTTTCTCCCAGCCATCTGATGAACTCCGGAGACATATCCTTATTTGACGGATTGATGTCAACAACGACAGATTCGTCAATGTAAGGAGTTATTCTCGCACCATATCCAGTTTTAACCAATGCCCTCAAACCAGATTGGAAGTCAGAAATATAGAAATCAACCACATGCCTCTGCAATCCAATAAAATATTATTTACTTGTTATTTATTACTGCCTTAGCTACTCCACGCCATACGTGTGTATGTGCACGCACGCACATATGAGAAAGGGAAAAATAATCATTTAGTATCAATAATTTTGTACTTTAATCTGTTACAAAATGACCTATATCACCTCCTAAACCCATGGTGGGAAGGAAGCAACTAGAAAGTCAAACAGGAAAAGATAGTGCCAAAGAAGACGGAAAATCAGCTGCTTTTGAAAGGGCGGAGGGGCATGCATGTCGAACACTACAAAATCGAGACTTGCTTGAAGGTATATATGTTTCCAAATGTTGCCACCATTAAGTGACGGTACCGCCCACAAAAGCTCTTCCCTCCACCCAAACCCCACAATTCTCTTGGGCTAAACACGAAAGAGCAAACTTTTTGGGCATGTAAATTATTTTATGGGAAATGTGAGGTTGAAAAGGAGTTTGGAAAAAATGGAGCTTAAACATATGCATAATTCTCTGTCATATCGCCTTTTTAATTCAGCTTTTAGTAATTTCAATGAACAAAACTATCTTTTATTATAAAGAGAGAGATATTTGGCAAAATAAATGCTTCTGAATCTCAGATAAATTCTTATTCGTCTCAAGTCTCTGAAGCTTTACCTGTCAGTACAGCCTGTCATATGAGTAAAATGTTTGCTTCTTTCCCCTTTTCACAGTAAGTAATTATAGAAATGTATTTGATTTTATCATATTAATCTCAAGACTTACTAACTTGGGAAACAATGTTAATTTCCAGCATCCTTGATGGCAATAATAGGAATCTTTTACATTTAATGCAGGCGTTACTTGATTTAAAAACATGAATCAAGCAACATAAATATAATAAAAATATTCCTCACTCACCTCTAACGAACGAAGGCCCCACGTAAAGCGGCGATGTGTGGGGTTGGCAGCTTTTGAATCCCACCCCCGGTATTCATACAAACTTGTGGATGTATAAACACATCTAGGAACTTTCTGGAATGACGATTCAAGAGGAACATTTCCACAGGTAACAACCTTCAAATAATGCAACCCTTCTTTTGTTAGGAGTCAGTATGTGGGCAGTTTAGGCAGTACAAAACACAGATTCAGATGCAACTTCAAGTAAAATTTCGCTTTTTATGCAAAGGTATAATTTGAAGACAACAGTAGAAGCATGTTTGGTAAAGTGTAAAAGTTACTTTTCTATAGAGCAAGTTAGTCTTATTTTCTAGAAAAGTAAGTTTTGTTAGTAAAAATTGGTAACTTATAAAATTATTTTTAGCAAAATGAAGCTTAAAAGTAACTTTTTTTTTTTTTTTTTTAAAAACTATTTTAACCAAACATGCTCCTAGTCGAAGCATATCCATTACTGATATACAGAACCAAGGACATTTCTATAGGCAGTTTAAGGCTACAGAAGAACTTAAAATAATGCTGAAGAAATTACATCGTCACAATACCAGCCACTATTGAAATGCATATAAGTTTATTATTGTCTAAAATTTTCACAAAAAGGTTATTTTACTTATCTTCATAGCATAAATAATGGTGGTGACAATGTACAAGGCATCTTTATCCTATATGGGAAAGACATACAAAGATTTATCTATGCAGATGCAACTGGAACGACGTATCGTCCTAATCAACAATTCATCGTGCCGAACCTATAAACTCTTTCCTTATTGACTATATATTCTTCCATTCTCACTATATTTTCCCCATCTTTAACATGCAACTCTGGAGCAAAATGTTTTCTCATTCATTATTATCAATCATCAAAGGAGCGTGATTAGTCAGTTTCGATTATTGAATAGAATCATACTATCACAAAGAATCCAAGCCGAAAATGCATTATCTCTCTGATTTAACACCGCGTGAAACTACAAAACTAACGTAACTTTTAATACTCATATACCACGTGAATCCCAGAGAATGCTAGAACTTGAATAACTAAAATATTCAAGAAATAAGACCTCAACTAGACACCAAGAAATTTCATAAATTGATTTTACAACTCCAAAATTAACAGCACGTTTCCTTTAAAAGCTCCTAAAAATTGTAAGTGTTAGGAATATGCAAATAAAAAGGGTTCCTGAATATGTTTAGAATTTCATCAGAGGTACATGATGCACCATGAATGTAAATTGCAAAATTATTATATTAACTGGCCTTCTTTTTGTGGGGTC